CTCTCTCTCTCTCTCTCTCTCTCTCTCTCTCTCTCTCTCTCTCTCTCTCTCTCTCTCTCTCTCTCTCTCTCTCTCTCTCTCTCTCTCACGCGTGCACGAGGTGTATCTAATTTATCAATCATGAATCTAACTTTCTAGTAGCAGTCGAGCTCACAGTTTCCCAGGGAACATCATTGTTATTGTTGTGACTATGTTTATTATCGATTGACCCATTTTGAAATCCAAGTTGCTAGTTAGAAGGTAGACTTACCTGGAAGAAAAAAGAACTCGATCTCTTCGCTGACACCGAACCAAAAGATTAAGAAAGGACGGGCCATTAGGATTTTTATTCGCTGTGACACTAGGCTACCAGCCGGGCCGCCCGGGTCCCTCTACTTTCCCGGGCGGCCTGGCCGTGCAAGGACCAGGAATTTCTGGAAAAAAATTATGTCATTCAGAAAAATAAACTGAACAACTTTTGCCTCAGGGTCGCATCGAAATTCGTGACCAGGTTAAAAAAATAAAATTAAAAAAAATCTATTTGGCCACTCTGGTAGACATGAAAAATGACAGTGAATTACTGGGTGTGAAATGGGCTCCTTTCCAGCCCATGTGGTGATGGTTTATTGGGCGATGAGGACGTGGGCAGGGGGGAGGTTTGTTGAGGGGACTGGATGGGGATGGGTTCTTGAATAGGCTGGAGGCGTTGCAGTCTCTAATGAAACCTGCACTGACCTGAATTGCTGCACAGGAGCTGTTGCTCGATCTTGTTTTCTTATTCTTACATTGTACTGAATTTAACAGTCTCTCTGTTTGTAAACTGTCAGTCCCCCTCCGAGCCATTTTCTCCCAATATGTTTTTTTTTTTTTTTTTTTTAAACAAAAGGTCATTCCATTATGTACTGGAAAGCGGGTCCGGCGTCCCTCACATATAACCGCAGCCATGCAGGGCTGGGAAAAGCACTCCCGACCAATCCCAGCCCTGACCACAGCCAAAAACTCTCAAACCCTAATTATTCGAGTATTGGAGCAAGTACCACCTATATCCATTGGTTCTACAATCCTAATTAAGCTTTCACCGATAAAAAGGTGGCCAATATGCACAAACCTTAGCTAAAGAGACACCCACACAAGCCAGATCGCAATTTGGCGTATTCAAAACAACACCTTCGAAATTCTACCAGGACCAGCATCATGAACCAAACCGTGATTATTAATCAATCAGCGGGCAATTTCCATCCAAGCCAATACGAATTTAACCTTCTGACTAACAGCAGTCCACTGGAGCGCTTCTACTGAACTCAAAAATAACAGCAAAACACGCCCAAACTACTGACTGCACAACAGAAACCCAGTGATCCTAGAGAACAATTAAAACCAAAGAGCAATCACCCATCCAAACGAACAAACCAGTTACAACTTACAACCCACAACTCAAAGATTATCAACAAACACACCACAAAGCGATCGACGGGCATGTATTTGAAAAGAAAATCAGAGCAAGCAGCAAGCATCATTGAAACAAAAGTACAGAATACCGAGAACCAAAGACCTAACCAGCACTACTAGCAGAGCAAGAACCAAGTACAAAGAACCCCAGAAGACATCGAGAAATTCAATCTGTGAATGAAGATATGTTTCTGAAAAATCGCAACAGCAGGCAGAAATCCCAAGTCCAAGCCTCGGTGAGAACAGACTCGTGCAAATGATTCCAAAAGAAAGCGCACCAATAGCCTAACGTTGTCAAGGAGACCATACAACCGCCGGTAGCATGCCGTGGACAGCGCTCCTTAACTACGGACAGAAAATTATAACTCACATTGAATGATAAGCAAAAGGCAAAATAGAGCGCCGAAAATCAACTTGGAGACGATGTCATCATAATACCATCTCAATCAATCCAACACCGCCATCAGAAGAAGGAAAGTGAGAAATCTACGCCGGGACTATTACCAACCGTCTCAACAACCAGAAGGGGAAAAAAAAGCCTCTCAAGGAGAGACAAAATACAGTTCGCATACACCGATTTTACCAACGAGCCAACTACGGCCCACATCTCAAAAGCCCAAACACAACGTAACAAAACTCACCGACAACAAATCCTAATTAAGGTTCATTGCAAGCTCTTCACGGTCAATCAAGCAACCCAGCACTTGTAAGGCAACCCTGGCTGAAAAGGGCAGAGGTATTGAACCCAAGGGTCTTCGAAAGCGTGTATCATATACGCAATGGAAGGTAAGGGTTCTTAACATCCCACGCCAGACTGCAGTGCCACTATCTGTAGACTCGTTTGCCCAGGCCTCCCCATACGTTAATCCTCCAGGCCTCTCCATAAGTTGATCCTCCAGCTCTATCACCACTCTTGATCGCGGAAGAATAACCCCATCAGCATCGTCATCAGCAGAGCTCCGTATCTGGAACCAGGGGGATCGACACCCCTGATCAGTTTTCATATTCTGAAATTTGCGACGAATGGATCTCGCCAGTCAATCACCCCCACATCATCTCCATCCTTCCATGGTTGAACAGGATTCCTGGCTTTTGCCAACCAAGACCGGCCCTAGCCAGAGGGTTAGTATCACCTCTGTGAAGCGCCACCCCCCCTGCGCCTGTGCGTCGTACTCCACGTGACGCCTCCACCACACCGACAGCAAGCTCTGGCGTGCGAGACCAACAACCGCTGGCCCCGCTGTATGCAACTGCAATTTTCCGGGGGTTCAACTACTGGATCTTTGTGGCTGGTCATACGGCCAGCCAAAAGCGAAAAAAGTGCCCTCTTATTTTGTTTCTGGCGAGCAGCATTAATCCGACTACCGGCTTCACCTGAATAGAACACTTGGTCATTATAGCTGTATTTGGGGAAAATCTGAGTCTAAAAAAAAGAAAAAAAAAGGGAAAAAAAAAGGAAAAAAAAAAAAGGTGCTCTGTTGTTAAAGGAAGATTGTGTTATGCTAAACTCTTGCCTGTCCTTGTGTGGCAGATGCTTGACCGCTATACTTGTATTGCGCTTGCTGGGGTCGCAGCTGAGTATCTGAAATTCGGCATTGCTGAAGGTGGAGTGTCTGACATACAACAGGTCAGCAAGCCCTTACACCAGAGGCTTCCTCCTTTCTTTTTCTGTTCTTTTTGGTCTTTTTAAAGTTTTTTTTTGCACCCGCTATTTTTTTTACTTTTTTTTTCTCCGCTAGTTCTGTTGTTCTGTTTGTCGCTTTGTTTTGTTGTTGTTGTTGGTGCTTTTTTTTTTTGGGGGGGGTCTGCTTTGGTCTCTAGACTACTACCTGCTTCCCTGATCGACAGCGCACCTGCATTATGACTGTAGGGAACTGGTTGTTATAGCTTGTATACATTCACGACAAGGGTTCAGAGGAACATGGTAGGCCCGGTCCTCCACGAGGTGGCTCAGGTGCCCACCATGGCGGGCCGGGCTGGGCAAGTCCCAGCTACGGTGCCAGGCAACACCAGCACTTTCGCCTCGTATTATTAAATTTTCCCACACTTATAGAAATCGCTAATGTGTTAGTAGATGGCAAGATGGCAAGATAGCTGCTCCAAGATACAGTTTCGAGAAAGGAAGAGAAAGGGTTACGAGAGTTTATTCCATACATCGATGATAACAAGGGTGACCGGATTTAAAAGGATGAAGCTCTAGGCATACACCAGAGGGTTTAGGGTTTAGGGGCCAGGGAGTGTGTAAAGAACGACAAGGGCGACTAAAAGGGTCTGAGGACACCTCACACAGGGACAGGGAGAAGGCACGGGACAGTAGGTTGAGCTCTTGCTAGCCTACATAGAAATATCTGGCAGACCCAGACGGTAGGTCTGAGAGGGAAGAGAGGGGGGTGGCAAGCTGGCAGTCAATCCTCCACCAAGGTGGAGCAATCAAGGCTGTCCAGGGTTCCTTCGGCCGAACGGAAGGAAGCGTGAGTGAATGGTTGTATTGTACATTGACTTGCCGGTGGAATAGGAACCGGACTGATGCTCCCCAGAATAGAAGGAGCCAGGACCATAAGGCCCTGTTTTGTTTAAAAAAATAATAATAATAAATAATAAAAAAATCGCTAATGTGAGAAATCTGGTATCTGGGGCGTCCGCAAATCCACAGGGTTGACGGTTGGGATCGTCGCGCGATCGTACAGATTTTAAGATCGCGCGACGATCTGCGCTGTCGGCCCGGTACCGGTTGGCCAATGGCCGAGATTAGGAGTTAGGGCTGCGAGGCCTGGGGGAAATCCGGCTCCAGGCCCAGGGGACTGGACCCATTAGCGAAGTATTCTACCACTCCGTTCAGGATTTTGATCACGTGTGGCCTCGAGTGACGCAGTACGGCCGTCGAATACATCGGATCTCGACGGCCTGGTAGTTTCCGAGCGGGGACTGTAAAGATGCCCACCTCCCGTCCAATGAGATGCGTCGAAAAAACAAAACAAAACAGAGTTGGACATGATAGCTCGTGGCTTTGCGTGGGCGGGAAGTCTGGATTTTATGGACTCCAAAGGGGGGGGGTTGATTTCCAGACTTCGTTTTCTTTTTTTTTGGCTCTGAGAAATGGAACTTGAAATGTGAAATTCAGATATCGTGGTGGATCTGACAGGAACGTTTCCGCGTCTGTCGGATGGCCTGTCAGAGGCATCATGATATACCTGGGGATGAATGTATCCGCATACCCATTACTTGTTCATCCTGGTGGCTGTGTTCGTGGACACATTTTATTGTCACGGTACATCACTATGAAGACTTACGTGAAGGAGATCGTACCAACCCATGAATTCGGGTGCACTTCTTTGTCTTATGTGCCATTTCAATTCATTTTAAATCAGAAAACGATCCATTCATGCAAATAAAAAATCACTTTGTCTTTTCCAAAAAACCATAAAATTGCGTCACTTATTGTAGAATATTTCGCTAGTGGGTCCAGGCCCCAGGTCCCCTATTCGGTGCCACGTTTCATCTCTTTTCTTGCGGATATGTTTGGCGCCGCATAGCCACAAGGCAACACACACTACTGTAGCACAGACACGGTGTATAGCGAACGAATCAGACAACACGTATTCACACAGATGCACGCCCACCCGTCCGCCCGCCCCTGCAAGCACACGCACAAACACACCTGCAGATGCACGCACACACTCGCGCACGCACGCACTTGGATGCATCGTGGGCAGACTGTCGGGGTTCAACCTCCTGATGAGTTGGTGAAAGTCCAATGAAACAGGCTGGCACAATCATATTTTTTTTTGGAGTTCTCACAAGCGCGTGTGCGCGCGCGAGCGAGCAAGAGAGAGAGAGAGAGAGAGAGAGAGAGAGAGAGAGAGAGAGAGAGAGAGAGAGAGAGNAGAGAGAGAGAGAGAGAGAGAGAGAGAGAGAGAGAGAGAGAGAGAGAGAGAGAGAGAGAGGGAGGGAGAGAGACCATGAGATTGGTAGATGGATACTTACGTAGACCCCAAATATATCATGGACATTTCCATGTGTGCGGGCGAAGCCGCATTGGCTTTACTTGTAAGGCTTGTCATTCTCATCACCAAGTGGAACTTCCAACACACATCTTTTTTCAGATCCAACTCAGGTCATCCCTTCCCCTGTTGCCCCCTCCCCCCCCTTCTTTGTTTTCGGGAACGCTGTTTTGTCATTTCCTATAGTGCACAATATCCAAATCTGCTAACCCCCGCCTCCCTCCCGCCCAAAAAAACTGCTGTTTTGGCCTCCTTATCGTAGCAAAAGAATGAGAAAAGGGCTGGCTGTTTGGAGCAGCACTACCATCTTTCCCTGAACACAGCGCATAGTAGCCGCATACTCATCATGTATTTACAGAAGTTGTCTTTTGGGGCCAATACTGTCATGTTGAGGGTGCATTCTGTTGTGGGGAAGATGGTAGTGGATTCAATCGTCAGTGGGCACGAGCCTCTCTTTTCCAGCACAGATTGTTGCCCGACGCACGGTGCGAGATGTGCACGGGGTTGCCAGCCTTTTGGAACAGGCACTCTCAGCCTTTCCCCTGCCCTTGCTGACGCGCATTTTTTCAATGGTGGGGATGTCCACCAGCAGTGTCACTGGCCCCAAACTTTTTTTTTCTCAATGCTGTTTTTGCGCAGCCATAAGACATTCAAATTTCAAACTGTGATGGTGTGCAATTTGCCTGTCACCGCCAGCCTTTTTGTGACGGACACTCCGAGCCCATCTTTTGGCCCTGTGTTAATGTTAACCGTGAGGCGTTTCTTCAAATGTGGGGAACGCCAACTGGCGGCTTGACTTGCATGGTGTAATCAGCTGTCCCTTTCCAGTCACCTCCCCATCCATATTTTGTGCTTTGTTTCTCACAGCCTTCAACTGTGAAAGCAGTAAGTCATGGAGCACAAATTTGCATCTTGTAATGGATTTTGTCCGTTCTATTTCATTTCATGGCATGGATATCTGTTTGCAGCTTTGCATTGTTTCGAAATGTGTATTTTGTTGCGGTATCAACAACTTCATAACTTTATAGCACCATTTATCACGGCCTAAATCAAACCAAGCCACCCTATTTAGAGATTTTAGACCCCTTTAAGCCCCTCTAAGCACCATTTATTACGTGCCGTCTCTTTCGGGGATCAGGAAGCAAAACCCTAAAACCCGAACGAAACGAAGTCCTGAAGACTTGTGATGGTCATCATAGGATTAGAATTTAAAAAACATAGATACATGGTCGGACCGCCAGCTGGTAATGGATTGGTCATGTCGAGCCCGCGTATTGTGTGGAAAGGACTGGAGCCGCAGTTTGGACCAGCTCTGGCCAGCCCAACCTTAAGAGATCAGGGCTATTGATAAGGTCACACTGATGCTGATCGGGTATGCACTGGCTTGCAGCAACTTTGTGCCGCGCAAAGCTTTTCCTTGTCCTTTCTGAAAAATTTCCCCTGTTACAGGGGAATGTACCCTCTGTCCCTGTCTCGGTTTGGGAGTTTCCGTCAGAAATGAGAAGTCAATCCTGAAAGCGGGGGCGCTCAAAATTCTGTGCAGATCCCTGGTTCTCCACCCGCCCCCACTCTGTCTTGGGTCCAATAGGCCTAGCCTTTCCTCAGGCTCTGCATTTACTGGCACAGGCTTCTCTGGGGGTTATAAATGGTGCTTAAAGCACCAGTAGTACATGGGCACCTGGGCCGCGGGCCTGACACCGCAAATTCTGGAGGTGCGAAACGAAAACGCGACCACCGATCGAATTTATCAACGGCAGGCCCAGCGTTTGACGTTTCGGCCTTGTTTTCTTGTGGCGACAAGTTTCGGACTGCAAGGCTGGGGCCGTGTACTAGTGGTTTAAAGGGGTCTAAATAGGGTGCCCTGGTTCAATATTTTTATTTTCCTTTTTACCTTTGATTCAGTAAGGAATTCCGAGGGCACCCTCGGTCAAAACTTATTCTCTAATTAAGAACAATACAGCAACTTAGGGGGGATAGGAATGGGTCCGCGTATGGGACTTGTAGAAGAATTTGACTCCTAGCGGCCGAAGTACCCGTGCGACAGGGCTCGTACGACTATGCTTCGATCAGGGCTGAGTCGGCTAAGCAGGGTCCTGCATAAAAAATGGTGTCTACAACCGCCGTTAGGTCAGGTCACCCTCGTCAAGACGACTGGAGGGTGACAATCCTAAGTGGTAGACACTGAGGTAGGATCGAGGGGGTAGGGGTGTGCCAGGGTGAAATCATGAAAGTGGCCGGTTGGGAGGGAGTCTCGTAAAGTGGATGGTCTATACACCATCTGGATAACTATATGGCCGACTACCGAAGGTGACTGTCATACGTCTAGTATCCATCCTCAGCAACAACCTGGGCTTTCAGAGAAAAAAGAAAAAAAATAAAGACCCATGCACGCTAAGTCATCTTCAGTTCTCGTCCGCTACTGGCCCGCCACAGCACCAGCGATAACCCCCTCAGCCTCAACAGGAAGTCCCAAGCCCCCACCCTTGAGACACCTTGTCCCACCTAGCCTATCGTCCATAGGCATGGTCTCCACTTCATAGCGCTAAAGACGACTGCTTCTGGACGCCCCATGCTGGCGAGAAGGGGGTGTCGGTATTAGGGGGCCTATGACATGCCAGCATGGGGC